ACACCGGGACCCCCGGGGACCGGCAGGGACTCCCTCGGTTCCTCCCGCCCCGCGGAGTCCCCGCTGACCGCATCGCTCTGTTCCGTCCAGGTCGGGAATGTCCTGACCCTGCCCCGCTGGRCACCGAGGGGCTGCGGGACCCTCCGGGACCCTCCGCCGGGCCCGGTAAGGTGAGCGCAGCGCTGCCGGTTCGGTGCCTCGGTTGCGAGGAGGAAAATCCGCAGCGAGGAGCTCCCGTCCCTGCGGATCTCCGGGCACCGGGAGCAGCCCCGGGTTCCGTTGTCAGCCCGMAAGTGGCACCGGGRCAGCCCCGGGGGTCCCCGCTGCTGCTGCACAGCCCGGTCACACCGGGCACCGCGGGATCGAGGAGGGGATAGAGGAACCCGGCGGAGCGGGGGGGTCCCGGAGATGGAGCCCCCGGCCGCCCCCCTCATTCTGGGGGTGGGGGACGAGGTGACGCTGGTGGCTGGAGTGGCCGTGCTGGTGCTGGCTCTGGTGCTGGCCTGGCTGTCCACATACGTGGCCGATGGCACCAACCAGCTCCTGGGCACCGGGGACGCGGCCGTCATCCGCCTCGGGCCCCTCCCGCCCTACGCGGGGCCCGCGGGGGCGGACGAAGCCCCGGAGCCCCCCAGGACCCCCGAAAACGCAGAGGAAAAAACAGAGGAAGAAGCGGGGGCGGCGGCACGGGGGGACAGCGGGAGCGCCCCYGACCCCGGCCTGGAGCAGCTGCTGGATGTCCGGAGCTTGTCCCAAAACCCCACCGAGCCCGGAGCCCCGGAGGAGGGGGATTTGTGCCCCGGGCTCATCAAGATCCGCCTCAAGTTCCTCAACGACACCGAGGAGGTGGCGGTGGCCCGGCCCGARGACACCGTGGGGATTCTCAAGAGGTGAGACCCGAGGGACAGGGGACACGGGGAGCGCTGCCGGGCTGCCAGTTCCACCCCCTCCCGCTGCAAACAGTCCCCTCCCACAGAACGGGGGAGGGCTTTTATCCTTTTTGCTGTGCCAAAAATACCGGGGGGTGTGGGATTTAAAACGACGAGTTTAAAAGAGACGGCGGTGGCAGTGCCACACCGAGCTGCCCCCTCCTCATTTAATAGTGGGAGGGTTTTCCACCAGCCCCAAATGCATCCGTGAGCTCCAACCTCTTCCCTCCTCCCGCAGCAAATATTTCCCRGGCCAGGAGAGCCAGATGAAGCTCATCTACCGCGGGCAACTGCTGCAGGACCAGGCACGGACGCTGCGCTCGCTCCGCATCACCGACAACTGTGTCATCCACTGTCACCGCTCCCGGGGAGCCACCGCGGCCACCCCGGCCCTGCCCGAGCCCGGCCCCGCCACCCCCACGGCCCCGGGGCTGCCCCTGGGCGGGGGGACCCTGATGGTGCCCACGGTCATGGTGGTGCTGGCGCTGGGTTGGTATTTCCGCATCAACTACCGGCAGCTCTTCACGGCCCCGGCCACCGTGTCCCTGATCGGTGTCACCGTGCTGGTCACCTTCCTGGCTTTCGGGGTGTACGGACAGGCGGGATGAGGTGGGAAGGAGCGGGGATGCACCGCAGTGTCCCTGTCCCCGCGCTGTGACAGGAGCCAGCACGGTGGGAGCTCAGCGCGTCTGTCCCAGCCTTGCTGTCGGACTTTACCCCCCCAAAAAGGGGCTGTGCCCCCCTCCCCAAATTCCATTCCCCCCTCCCGGCCCCAATCGCAGCTCCGGGGGAGTGGGACAGCACTGGAACGGGTCGTGGCTTCTTCCCAAGGACTTTTTGAGGCAAATAAAGGGTGTTAAGTCACCCCAGTGGTCGCCTTYCTGCCCTGGGGGATGCTCACTCTCCCACGCACCCACACTTTTGGGGGGGGTTATAAAAACAAATCGGCCCTATCCGTGGTGTGTGGCGGGGGGAAGTAAAGGCCCTGCTTAATTAACGAGCCGTAATTAATGCCAGGGATACCAAGTCAAGATGCAGTTTTATTTACAGGGGCAGCCACAACCCACTCACGGGACACACAGACCTCACAAGGGCTCAGCTCCCCCGCGGAGGGGGACACGCAGAAACATTGGGGGGAGGATGGGGGGCGCGGACACCAACCTTGGGGGGCATCACAGGGCACGGTCTGAGCCCCCCCCAAAGCCCCATTACACCCCTTGGACCCCAAATTGCAGCGCCTCTCCCACAGCTCGAGGGGCTCAGGCTGTCCCCTCTCTGCTCCCCCAAAGCTTGCCATGCCAACCCCCCCCCCCCCAGGCAGTTTGGGGTGGTTTCCCGTGTTTTTGGGTGCCCACTCCCCCCGTCCTCAGGCCCCGGGGCACGCGAAGGCCAGCTTGGCATGCTCCGGTGGCCAGACCCCCAAAGCCACACCAGGAGGGACCACACGAGGGTCCCCATGCAGTGGGAGGGGGGGGGGGGCTCCCGCCCCATGCAGTGGGAGGGGGGGGGGGGCTCCCGCAGCGTTTTGAGGTGCCCAGGGCTCTGCAGGGCCCCCCCCAGCCCAGCCTTTAGCAGCAGTTTGAAAACAATAGTGAATCCAGAGTCGAGAGCACCATAATTTGTGAGTCCCAGCGAGAGGACGAGCCAGGGCACCGGGGTGGGGGGACACACACAGCCCCCACCGGGGGACATACGGCCAAATTGGGGCAGGGGGACAACAGAGGGGACGGAGCTGACCCTGTCCCCGACAGCCCCCGCGGTGGAGAACGGCTGCGGCGAGGGGAGGGGCTCGCAAACAGGGGGTGACCTGGATCCAGCCAGAGGGACCTGTCCCCCCCCCCAGCCCGCACAGCGGGGCGCTGGTCCCGGCCACCCCCAAAACAAAAGCAGAGCCTGTGGAGGGGGTGCAAACACCAGCCAGAGCTGTGAGGGGTCCCCCTGCCCCCCGACTGCAGCAGCAGGTCCCCAGGCAGGTGGGGAGGGGGCTCAGAGCTGCCCTGGGGACGCGAGGTGTGGGGGGCTCTGTGTTGAAGGCAGGCTGTGCTTCGCCCCCGCCCCAATTTTGCTCCATTGCCAGCTCGCCCCCGGAGGTCCCTGCCAAGTTGGGGTCTCCCTTCCCCAAAGTCTGGTGCAGGGATGGTCACAGCAGCTCCCCCCGCCCCCAGACCCACCCCCAAACAGCCCCAAACATGAAGGATGCAGCATGCAGCCCCCCGTGACCCCCCCATGTGGGCACTGCCAGGGCCCCAAGACCCCCAACAGCTGAATGCAGGCAAATTTGGAGGGTGGGAGGGTCCCCACTTGTCCTCTGAGTGGGAAACACCCCTGTCCAGCATGACCCCCCCTCCTGAGCCAGCCCGACCAGCGAGTGCCAGCCCGGTGCAGGGAGAGGGGGCAGCCCCAGGGTGAGGGGGGCTCACCCCAAAACCCCGAGGCAGGAGGGATTCACAGCCCCCTGACCCAGGCCCCGACCTGCCCAGGGGGTGCAGGCGCCCCCARTCCCATCGGGGTCAACGAGGAGCAGGCGTGGGGGGCACAGCTGGCTTTGGGGGGCGTGGGGAGGGGAAGGGGGGGCTGTACCCCCATTGTCCAAGGGAGACGCCCCGACGGGAGCCCCACATACAAAAACTGTCACAGAATAAATAGAGGCACCGGGACGGCGGGGGAGGAAGGGGGGCACTAACGAGGGCTCCCCAAATGCAGCCCCGCTCCRGCAACGGCCGAGTCCTCCGTGCTCCGGTACCCGCGGTGTGTCCGGCCCAGGGGGTGCCCGGGGGCTGTCCTGGCCCCTGTCCGTCCCTCTGTCCGTCCTGCCCCTCCCCAGCTCCACGGGGCTCAGTTGATGTCGTCGTAGATGCTGGGGGTGTGGGGGGCGGGGGGCTTGGGCTTCTTCTTTTTGCTGGATCCGAGCCCTGGGGCGCCGCTCACCAGCCCCARGTGGGGCTTTTTCTTCTTGGTCTTGCGGGACTCGGAGTTGTTTGTACCTGGGGAGGGGGAGAAAGGGAAGAAATGGAGGTGTCAGAAATGGGGTCCCAAAACAGAATGGACCCATCCCCATCTCGAGTCAACACCCAGGAAAAAATGTACCCCAAACTGTTCCTCCCCCTCCCAGGTGGGTGACAAGGTGCTCCAGGCTTTGGAGCCACGATCTGTCCATCCCCTCTGGCAGTGGGGAGATGCCAGAACAGTTTTGACATCACAGACAGGTCTGTGCCCCAGGATTTGCCCCTCAAGAGGGGTCTGTGCACCCCATTTCACCCCCCAGCCCCACAAACACTCACTGGCTTTGGAGGAGGCCGAGTCGGAGGGGGAGATGTCGGAGGAGCCATCCCACTGCAGGCGGCTCATGAGGGCCTGGCTCTCGGCCACCTCGAAGCTGTCGTTCTCCACGCTGCCCTCGGCCTCGGGCAGGGACCTGCACACAAATGTTATGGGGGGATTTGGGGCGTTTGGGGAGACAGAGCCCCCCAAATGCCAGGGGGATCCCCATGGGTTCAGCCCAGCCCCCCACCACCACCCCACTGGGCTGCACATCCCAATCCAGCTCTGGCCTCCCATCCCCTCCAGGCCTCCCTGGGGCTGTCCTTGTCCCCAACCCCACCCGAGCACCCTGTGCAGCCCCCCCAAGTCATTGATCCATGGGACAGTGACCCCCGGAGCTGGGGGATCCCAAGACTGCACCCACTTACGCGGAGGGCCCGAGGAGGTAAACGCGGACTGCCCTGCGCTGCTCATCCGTGTGCTGGGGACACCGCAGGGACCTGGGGACGAGACATGGGCTGAAATGGGCATTCCCTCCTCCCATGGAGATGTGAGACATGTTGGGGACACCTGGGAAGCCCCCCATAGCGAGCAGGGCCCGGCTGGGCCACCCTCACCTGGTGCACATCTTCTTGGTGTGTTCGGAGATGACCCCGCATTGCTGGGGAGGGAAAGCACAGGTGAGTTTGGGGGGGACAGGTGAGTGACAGAACAGGTGAGTTTGGGGGGGACAGGTGAGTGACAACGGGTGAGTTTGGGTGGGACAGGTGAGGGAACCCTGGCTGTGCTGCACCATCACAGCCCTGGGAGCACCCCCAGTCCCTCAAAGCTGTGTCCCAAAGCAGCCACTGCCCCAAGATCAGGAGCTGCTGCATGTCCCCATTCCCAGCCTGGAAACCAGCCCCAGCTGGGAGAGATCCCAGGGGTCTCAGCCCTTGCAGTGCCCCCCATCCAGGTGGGATGGGACCCCTCTTGACCCCCTGTCCAGGTGGGAGGGGGTCCCTCCTGTCCCTCGTCCCCTCACCGTGGTGAGCAGCGTCCGCAGCTCCTCGGGGCCCAGCGTCTCGTAGTTGATTCCCGCCGAGTTGCTGTACTGGGGGGACAGAGAGTGGGGTCAGGCCTGGGGGGAGCTGGGGGAACCCTCACACCTGTCTGGGGAGGGTTTTCTGGGGTACAGAAGGGATGGCAGCCATCTCTCCCCGTCCCAAGCTCACCTTGAAGGGATCRGGGTTCCCGCCGATCTCGCCTGGGAGAGAGGAAGGGTGAGGGGGTTCCTGCCCTCAGCCTGGCCCTGCCTGGGACCCCTCCCCATTGCCACCAGCCCAGCCAGGGACAGGCCCGCCTCACCGCGAGCCCCACCCATTGCATGTGCCCCACCCACCCCAAATTCATGCCCCACTCACCCCAAATTCCCCACCCCTTCTACATGCCCTGCCCACCCAAAATCACCTGCCTGCCCAGGCCCCGCCCCCAGAGCGATGCCCCACCCCA